CAAATCTTCTGCGTTTTCTCGAAAAAAAAATGCTGGTTCCAAGCTAAAACACTTAAGTTGTAATTTATGTAGACTTTCTGGTAAATCATGTCCTCAGTGTGCTTATGATTTGTTATGTTTTGGTATTTGTTACATGGGGCAAGACCTATAGCCATAGTACCCACACCAATGTACCAAAGGAACCACCATAGGAGGCATGAGTAGCAGGGGAGACTGTTTCTGTAGCCTCGAGTTGAGTCAGAATCCAATTAGTGAAAAGCTTGCAGAGTCAGTTTAGATAAAGAGAGAAAGTGTTCAGATTGTAATCAGTTTAGTTTTGCCTTGTTGGCCAAGTTAGTTTACCTATATAAGAAGGGACTTAAACCTGATGAATAAAGGAAGCCAATTCAAAGCACTTTTTTTTACCTTAGCAGCCTAGAGTACTTAGAATTTGAGTTCTTCCAATTTTGGTATCAGAAACATCTACAAGAGGTCATCGACAGCAGTGATAAGGTAAAATAACTGAGTCAAAGACAATACCAAGCTAGATAGAGAAAAAAAAGGGCAGCCCGCTGCATGTAGCTCCCGCTTGCGTAGGGTCCGGGGAAGGGTCACTACCAAGCTAGATAGAAGACTTACTAATTAGCAGTACAAGTAAACATGCCTGACAAATAGACATATAGTCTTCAGTACAATGAACAAACAGAGAACAAAGCTAAACGTTTAGCATGCAACAGAATAAGATAGTTCTCAGCACAGTGTTCACAGCAATCATAAAGAAAGGAAACATGGGAAGTTCTTCGAAACACGTAGGAATTACTGAAAGTAACACAGTGCGAAGAAATAGAGCCCGTTTGTTTGCTCGGATAAGACAATGCGATGTGTTACCCCAGTTCAAGTTGCTGGCACAACTCTACGTCTGGGATGGAGAGACTGAGCCACAACTCTGAGAACACGAAAGTCCTCGTCTTAGTCTACTTGAGCTAATTTCACTTAGAACCCGCCCAACTTGAGGTAATCGCCAGAGACTAGTTCTTCGACAGTCCACACTCTGGATGCTCTTGAACAGACACCTAAGCGTCTAGACGATGCTCAATCCTCAAGAGTAACAAGTCCAAGTTAGGCTTATTAGATCAAATTCTTCAGTCAGAATTCAGTTAGTTAAAATCTTGTAGGCAGGTTAGATTAAGAGAGAAAGAGTCCAGATTGTAATCAGTTTAGTTTTGCCTTGATGGCCAAGTTAGTTCACCTATAAGAAGGGACTTGATCCCGATGAATAAAGGAAGCCAATCAAAGTATTTTCTTTGTCTTAGCCGCCTAGAGTAATTAGAAATTCGAGCTGTTCCAGTCTTAGCCGCATAGATTCTTCCTACAATTCTGTTTATATTGCACTTAAAATTCTCTGGACGTCCGACTCTCAAGTGTTTGGCTCTACATGGCCTATAGACACTTATCATGATTTCATACTTCATGGAAGGAAAAAAGACGGAAAGTTTAGTATTTAAAATTGATTGTAACATGGCAGCTTGATAGTTCAATATGTGATCCTTGATCTTAGAAGCATTATTAAAAAGGTGCTTAAAATTAATACAGCCTGAACTTTCTATCTTTATGGTATCTGAAGGTGCTATATATGCTTGATGCTGTCCTTCATTCATCTTTTTGATCTGTATGCTATGTTGTAGATGGCACTGGGCTCATGAATTACGAATCATTCCTGTACACCTACTCCTAGTTTGATTTGCCAGTCTCGCTTTGCAGCATTGCTAATCCTCCATGTGCAGGTAGTGGTAAGACATATACAATGCAACCCCTACCTCTAAGGGCTGCACAGGATATGGTTCATCTTTTGCATCAACCTGTGTACCTGAGTCAAAATTTCAAGTTGTGGCTTAGCTACTTTGAGATATATGGCGGGAAGCTTTATGACCTTTTGAGCGAAAGGAGGTTGATCGCCGCACTCCATTTTTATACTATCTAATTTGGCATAGTAAACTTATTGCCTTTGTGTGTTGTCAATGTGATGTTGAAATTAATTGTATGTATATTATCTGTGGATAGTATGCAGCTATAATGCATTTAATTTGCCCATTTTTCTGTGCATGTATATATGTGCACCCATGTTCCTGTTGTCACATTGCTAAGACTATCTTAGGAGTGCTGGAAAAACTTCTGTTCTTGCATACAAGCATGGGCATACACACATATATGTATGAACTGATGGTTACCTATTGGCCACTGGTTAACAATGATCATGCAAGTAGTTTTGGGCTTAATGGAACGAGGTTTTTGCTGATCATAGGAAATACTGCCACTTTTTATTAGGGGGAACTTAATGCAGGTGATGACTCTTACTAAATGCTACCTCCAATCCAAAACGCAAGTCTTTTTAGGAATTTACAAGTGAAATATTTTCAAGTTTGATCTTTTATATTGATATTACTAGATTTACCATGAAATATAAGTTTGTAATGTACAGGGAACAGGTTTGCACAGAAACTTGTGCCATGTCAAACTTGATATTACCATCTTGAAAATTGTGCCGTGTCCTAAAAGACTTGCATTTTGGATTGGAGGAAGTACGGTGATTAGCTACAGCTGTTTAAATTCAGCATTGAAATGAAACTTTGCTTTTGACATACACTTCAGTAACTTGCCTTTTGTGACTTGTTTTTGTATGCTTAATGGGACTTCTTCTACCTTTTACTTGGTTCTGTGGTTGAATTTGAGCTGCATTTTTTCTATGTTTTTCTAGGCCACTCTGCATTAGGGAAGATGGAAAGAAACAGGTCTGCATTGTCGGCTTACAGGAATTTGAGGTTTCTGATGTCCGGATTGTCAAAGAATACATTGAGAGAGGAAATGCCTCGAGAAGCACAGGATCAACTGGGGCCAACGAAGAGTCATCACGATCTCACGCCATTCTGCAATTAGCTGTGAAGAAGCATATCCCAGTGACAGAGACCAGAAGACAGAGAGATCGTGAGGCTAATGAAGCTAAAAATACAAAGCTTGTGGGAAAATTGTCATTTATAGACCTTGCTGGAAGCGAGCGTGGTGCTGATACAACAGATAATGACAAGCAGACAAGGTACTTATTTTCATCCGATAGATACTGACTTCTGTCTTTCTGGCATGCTCCAGCTGTATCTTTTTCCATTTACTTGCAATGTTTCCATAAATACCAACATATTACAGTCCTCTGCCTTCTAACTTTCTACTTGTGCCAGAATTGAGGGTGCAGAAATAAACAAGAGCCTTTTGGCTCTCAAGGAATGCATTCGGGCACTGGATAATGATCAGATACATATTCCTTTCAGAGGAAGCAAGCTAACCGAGGTGCTTCGTGATTCGTTTGTTGGTAACTCTCGAACAGTAATGATTTCTTGCATCTCACCGGGTTCAGGTTCATGTGAACACACGCTAAATACCTTAAGATATGCTGACAGGTGATATTCCCTTTAAATGACATTAAATTTACATGTTGTGTTTGATAATTTGGATGTACATTGAGTTATCAGGTTTTAACGATATAGCTGCTCAACAAGCAGGGTTAAGAGCCTCTCGAAAAGTGGCAACTCAAAAAAAGAGCAGTTCAGTGGGCAGTTTGTGTCCTCCAGCAAGGAATCTACCCATACATCATATCCATTATCAGGTGAAGCTGAAGAAACTGTGGACCAGATTGAAGAGAACAGACATATTGATGCTTCAAGGAGTGTTGTTGAAATCTATATGAGTTCTTCAGTGGATCCTGATAGGAACTCATTTAGTATGATTCCAAGTTATCCTCATAGAGGAAGGGAAGAAACTAGTTCAACATCTAGTTTGAATGATAGGGGGAGAATTGATTTCAAATCTAACCCGACTGGTTATAGTAGTAAAGCACAGTCACTTCAGAATTCAGTTAATTCACAAGAAGAAGATAAAGTTACAAAAGGCTCACCTCCTCGGAGAAAAGCTAATAGGGAGGACAAATCTGAAAGGCAGAACAACTACGTGAAAAAGGAAAATGGGGCAGATGTAAATCGGATTGTTCACAAACAGCAACTGAAACAGCAGCAGCAAAGACCACTGTCTACTTCGGCATCACAGGTTTCCTCGAGACAATCTGAAAAGGAAAGTTCGTGTGATGAGGAAATAAATGCAATACTTGAGGTAAAATAATACCTTCTTAGTCAAAATTGTTTAATTTTACGGAAGTGGAGCTGATACCAACGTTTATTTTTGTTAGGAAGAGGAGGCATTGATAGCAGCTCACAGAAAGGAAATTGAAAATACTATGGAAATAGTGCGGGAAGTAAGCTACATTTACTCAATTTACATCATAAATGTCTTTGTGTTTTCTGATATTCTTGCTATCTGATCTTGCGTGCATGATGTGTCTTCTTACCTGTTGTTGAGCGTTGCGTTGCTTGTGGTGTAAACATGCCATTATGGTGGCTTCAAAGTCCTGGAATCTCTGCTGAAGCTCCATTTCCTTCCTTGCGCACCCGCCTTCATCTCCATGCTTGATCATGCTCCAATGCTCATCACTCTTGTCCATGAATAATAAGCAATACAAACATATCTAATTTAGGCAGCATCTTATTCACCTGATAATTTAATTAGTGTGCGGGAGCTCTAGCGATTGGTCCTTGTTTCTCTAGAACCTAACATGTGTAGTGTGGTAGGGGTTGTGGGTGTAACAATGGTAAGGATGTCCTCGTCAATTTAACTGAGTTCTTGTAAAAGCAAACCTAATATTTGCAGCTTACTTCCCATCTCTTTGTTATGCAACAGTTGTGAAACCGTCCGACTATAATTGTTCCATTTGGTACACGCTGTTACACTCTTATCATACCATTACTTACTATATATCTAGTCTTATTTAACCAAACACCAACTTGTAATGCAACCACTGAAGTTACAAATTATGTACCTTCAAACATTTTTTTTACTGATTTCAGATGACCACTGCTTAACAGTTAACACTAGTCACAGTTTTGCAGTTATTTCAGCACTACATGATTGCTTAACACCACTTGCCGTTGTGTTGCAGGAGATGAACCTATTAGCAGATGTTGACCAACCAGGTAGCCTTATTGACAATTATGTGGCACAACTGAATTTTCTCCTGTCACGGAAGGCGTCCGGCTTGGTCAGTCTCCAGGCACGCTTAGCAAGGTTTCAACAGCGCCTCAAAGAAGAGGAGATCCTTAGCCGTAAGAAACCATCAAGATAGTTTAACCGATTTTTTTTAAAACCATTTGGCTTGTCATGAATTGCAAGGAGCCGTGAGCGGGAGGTATGTTTTATTCTGATCTCCCATGTGATCACATTTCACTTAAGAGCTTGAAGAACTGAGTCTAAAAACCTGGGAAAATGAGAACCTGGGAATGAGTAACAAATGGAGTCGTGCAGGCGCTTGGTTTTGAGGTTTTCCCTGCAGTTTGCTCATTTTTTCTCTTTTCTTCAAAGGGTTGTTTCATTCTTTTTTTTCCCGGTGGTGGCATGATTTGTCATTCTTGCCACATTCTTTTTGTATGAATATAGTGTAACTGGTGTTTGAAGATGAGGAAATTATACTTGTACCTTGGCAACATAGAAACTGTTGTTGTATTGTGTGTATCAAGAAAGGCAACATTGCAGTAAGATCTTCAGGAATATTTAAGTGGCAAGAATCTGGGACATGGTTCGTCATTTGGACGGTGTATTTAGCTTGAGCATTCAACTGGCTAGTATGATTTTCTAGCTGAGTAGATTTAATTACACTGCATGTAGATTCTCAAAACCGATTCAGTACTATAGATTTAAAGTTTTGTTACGGAAGAAATGTTTGTTAAGGAATTTGTCGAGTGTTACTCCCTCTGTAACTTAATGTCAGACGTTTTTGTGTTTTCCGGTAGCTGTCAAAACAGTGTGAATAGTCATTTCTAACCTCGCCCATTTGAATTTCAAATTTGACGCGACCTGCCCCTTGTCCGGCATTTGCACCTCGGTACAACTGCACCTCGTCCTGTCCTGCACCAGTGTGTCCTCGCTCCATCTCCCATGCTGTGCCCTGCACTTAGCACGCCGCCTTGCAGCAGCGTGTTGCCCACTGCCTTGGCGTGCCCAGCACTAGCACACCCGCGCCTAGGCGCCCAGGTGGAGGCCACCGCGCCCAGGCTCTTCATTGTCGTGCCATGCTTGCCCCAGGTTCATCTCCTTGCCCTATTTGCAGGTGATGATGCGCAATTTCACATGCAGTACTGCATTTAAACTGGAATATCCATAGTTTTCTTTGAGTAATCATATGGTAGGAGTAGTAAATTTAAAACTGCAATATGGAGATACTCCTGATTTACATACGGGATAGGATATGAGTAAATTACTCCTATTGGACGCAATATGAATCCCTCCTTAGTAAATCCAACATGTAAACTACAATAGGAGTAAAACAGTATCTGCAACATGATATGCACAGTATGGAGTAATCATAATTTTTATAGTAAATTTACAATATGATTCCCTCCTTAGTAAATTTTCAATGTGGGATATTTTGATTTACATGTGGGATATGACAAATTCCAATAAATTGAGTACTCCTACTTATTTACATGTGGAATATTGTGAGTAATTCTCTAATGTCAAGTTTTCCAATGTAAAAATAGAAACTGCAATTGTCAGATTAGTGAAACATAAATTGAGTACTCCTATTGATATGCACAACATGACCAATATTCACATATGTTTGCCAACAAACAAAACAGTTTGCAGAAATCAATGTTCACATATGCAGATACGATACCGGGTCAGTGAATTGGTAGGATGTGCCATATGCAAAAGTACAAGGAAAAATGGAAAACGAAATAGGGCAAAATAAAATTTGAATACAATAAAACCAACGTGAAAAGAAGTAGAAGCTTCCTAAAACTAGTTAAGTCATAAAAAATTGGGCGCCCCTATGTCTCGCTGTAAGCGAGACAGAGGGCAAGCCTCGCGGGGAAGGTCCAGATAGGTCGGCCCAGCTGCGCGGGAGGCTACAACCTCCTTTTTATGTTTTCTGTTTTGCTTTATTTTGGTAATTTCATTTATACTTTAAAGTATTCTAAATATATACTGCAAAAAGGATCTATAAATAAATTTGAAATTTTTTTACCAAGCATTTGAAAAATGTTAAATGTGTATAGAAAAATGTTTATCACGCATGCGAAAAATGTATTAAAAAATTGATCATGTATTTGAAAAATGTTAATCAAGCATTTGAAAAACACCTGAAGTATTTGAAAAATGTCAATCAAGCATTTGAAAGACACCTGAACAAATATTTGAAAAAATATTAATCAAGCATTTGAAAAATGTTAAATATGCAGAGAAAAAATGTTGACAATGTATTAAAAAATATGATGAATTTTTTTGATCATGTATATAAAAAATGTTAGTATTTGAAAAATGTTAATCAAGCATTTGGAAATGTTAATTAAGCATTTTTTTGATCATGTATATAAAGAGTGTTAATCAAGAATTTGAAAAAAATGTTGAACAAGTATTTGAAAAATGTTAATCAAGCATTTGAAAAATGTTAAATGTGCATAGACAAAAATGTTGACCATGTATTAAAAAATGTTAAACTTGTATTTGAAAAATGTTAATCAAGCATTAAAAATCTTAAAATTATATATAAAGTATGTTGACCATGTATCAAAAAAATGTTAATCTTGTATCTGAAAAACATTAAAAAGTGTATAGAAAAAATGTTGACCATGTATTACAAAAGTGTTTAATTCCTATTGGAAAAATGTTAGACGTGTATTAGAAAATTGTTGATGACATATACAAAAATGTAGAATAAAAACCAAAAGAACAAAGAGAACCAAAAAAAGAAACAAAATGAACAAAATAAAAAGGAAATAAAAATGCAAAAAAAGAATGAAAAAGGAGAAGAAAAAAAAAGAAACAAAAAGAAAACCAAAGAAAAACAACGAAAAAGGAAATAAAATCTATACCTACTAATAAAGGGGTTATGCTTCTGCCCGTACATCGTTATATATGTTTCTGCCCGTAACACACACACTAAACATTACGTTAACACTGCGTTTGGATGTTCCCATTGAAGCCCAAGAAATTGAATTGGTAATCATCTGACATCAATACAGATGTTTGGTTGCACACCGAATTCGTATTAGAAACGCCAGATGTCGGAGTAAACGACCACGGGTAGCCTCACCTGCTTCCCGTGGCGATTCAAGACATCGGGGCCGGCTGCGCCCCTCAAACCTCAAGGACAAAGTACCGCCTTTCTTGGGCCGGCTGGTGGCATCGGCCGGCTGACCAGAGGGCGGCGCCCTTCAGAAGAAAGCCATGAGATGCACTAGTAGAAAAATGGTCAAATGTGAAGCACATTAGTGCCAGTTTGAATTTGAGCCGGCACTAATGTGTGCATTAGTGCCGGTTCCAACGGCTAGCCGGCCGCTCTCATTAGTACCGGTTCGTGGCGAACCTTTAGCACCGGTTCGTGCCACGAACCGGTACTAAAGTGAGTGGTGGTAGGATGTTGTCAGTCCGGGGGCCCTCCAGCACCTTTAGTACCGGGTCGTATCACGAAACAGTACTAAAGGTCGTCCTACATAGACCCTTCGTTCACCCAAGCTCGCTTTGTTCTTCCCCTTTCCCCTCTCCTCTCTGTTCTTTTCCCTCTTCCTCTCAAGCTCATCACATATTTTGCCCAAAATTTGTCAAGATTTGAAGGCCCCCATCCATTCAAATGATCACAAAGGTTAGCAACTTTGTCCTTTCATCTCTCATTGCTAGATTAGCTCGTGCAATGCTTTATAAAGTGATTGATTTTTGAGTTTAGTAATTTGGGAGGAATTATATATATGTGCTAGTATTTGATTTATATGCAATTTGAGGTAAAAAATAACACTTAGTTTGCATATGTAGGTGTGGTTTACTTAGTACCTTCTAAATCTCCGTCGTAACCACCGTCGATCGCTCGCAACGTCCCGTCGCCGGCACCACCTTGTGGTGAGCCTCTTGCTCATGAAGTTTTATATAAAAAATTGATGTTTGTGTGATTTGGATATATAGTTACTCGTATAATTATCTTACCCATACGTTGTTTGTTATACATAGTGCCATGATTTTGATATCCGTTCCCGTCGGCCCTCGTCCGGGTTATGATTCGGATGTGGTATATTCTTTTTTAAAACTATTCATTGCATTTCGTGTTTATGACAAATTATGCCCATTAAGTTGACATATATATTTGTATGTAGGAGGTAGTTGAACCGGAAATTCCAACCGACCCTATTGTCGAGAGGTTAAATTTAGTTGAAAGAGAAAATGAGGATTTGAAGGAAAAATTGAAAAGAATTGAGGGGGAGAAGATGGAATTGGAGTTGCATGTTTCCGATGTCGTCGATGATCACAAGATTAAGATGGAGAAAATGCACTTGAAGATTAAAAAGATTAGAAAATATGCCATTCATAGTGAGGCTTGGTATCATTATGCTGTTGGATCAATTGTTACCTTAGTTGCGATCTTGATCGCATTTGTTGTTGCATTTAAATTCTTTAGCTAGAGAGTTATCTGTTTGTTGCATTTAAGTGTTGTATGATCTTTATGTATGAACTTTATGTATTGTATTAATTTGGTGTTTTCGGTGCTGTGTATTGAAGATGAGCCGGCAATGGATGTACGATGACCGATGCTCTCCCGAGTTCATTAATGACATGCGTACTTTTCTGCTTGCGGCTAAGGCAAACAAACGGGTGGATGGTTTTATGCCTTGTCCATGTGCTGGCTGTAAGAATGGTCACAATTACTCTACGTCAAGAACCATTCACGTCCACCTGTTTGAGTCCGGTTTCATGCCCCACTATAATGTTTGGACCAAGCATGGAGAAAGAGGGGTTATGATGGAAGACAATAAAGAAGAAGAGGACGACGATAGCTATCCTGGCCATGGGTTCCCTGAATACGATGATACAACAATGAGGGAAGAAGCTGAGCCGGTAATGCGGGAAGAAGCTGAGCCGGCAATGCGGGAAGAAGCTGAAGAAGAGGCATCGGATGAGCCCGTTGATGATCTAGGTCGGGCCATTGCCGATGCAAAGAGAAACTGCGCAAGTGATTTGGAGAAGAAGAAGTTGCAGCGCATGTTACAGGATCACAAAAAATTGTTGTACTCGAATTGCGTAGGTGACAAGAAAAAGCTGGGCACCACACTAGAATTGCTACAATGGAAGGCAGAGAAT